TCACTTCTGACTCACTCGTCACATATTGACACTTTTCCAAGGTTTCCTCTGCGTCTTATTTTGACATGTCGGGCACATATCGGGTCAGTTATTGGCGCACCAGGCATTTCCGTGTTCCCTCGGCGTCTGGGTTTGATGCATTGGGATGCAAAATATAGGGGTCTTTGAGTTGGGGTCTGTGGTTAATATTAGGGATCAGGGTTTTTGGTTAATTTTAGGTGGTGGGGTCAGGAATAGGATGTCTAAGGTGAATATTAGGTCATTTTAGGCTTTGGAACATGTAGTTGATGTGAATTTCCTGCACTTTATAAAAATGGTTAATTTTAGGGATCAGGGGTGATGGTTAATTTTAGGTACTAGGGTCAGGGACAGGATGTCTAGAGTGAATAAATGTAATTTTAGGCTTTGGGACGGTAGTTTTTGTGCATTTTCTACACTTTCTGAAATTATGCCTATGGATTCCGCCCCATTTCGTCAATAACTGATGCGAGGTGGTACCCGATGCGTCAAAACCGGACGCGGAGGGAACCTTTGAAAAGCATTAATATGTGACGACTTGGTAGTGAGAATGGGTTGATATATTAGAAATTGGAATTTTATATAAGCTGCAATGTTGAAATATTCGGTTTTGTAACCATACAGGTTCAGTGGCCTTGGAAGTGACAGCCAACTGCCACCACTAAAAGAGGCTCAATCAAACCCTGCCTTGGGTCTATGTCTTTTAGCTGTGTGTTTAATACGGCTCTGAATCTCCCCATTAAACCTCACAGCTCCCTCTGTTTCGGTTTACTGCGGCCTCTCTGGGGGAAGAGGGGCATTACGAGACACGACGGAGCGCGTTACGGGGGGCGCTTACGACAGGAGTTACGAGGGGCAGTTCGCATTTCACGGAGGTCCAGGAATCCCACAAGGCATCTGGAGGAATTTACGAGGCAAGAGAGAAAGTGAAATGGGGTTGGGGTGGGGGCAAACTGGGATGCTGTTGATGCCTCCCACCTATTAAAAAGCCTTTTTTTTCTTACAGAGAATACAAAAACTAAGCAAAAAAAAAAAACCACACACACTGTATGTGTCTGACATTTTTAAATGCTCACATATAAAAATGTGTAAACATCATATAATTCATAAGTTTCTATAAACATGACCTGCAGGTAAAAAAAAAAGGTTGCTGTGCATTTAGGAACGAGTAAAGGACAATCATTTTATTTACATGGTAGCCAGCTTTTTAACAAGTTTGTGCAAAGTTGTTGAGAACTTGACCAAGTTTAGAAGTAAAACATGAAGTTCAATATTAAAAGACTGAAGAAAGTTTTTAACAGTTTGACTCAATTTTACCTAAATACTTTATGTGTGGAAAGTTCTAGTGACCCTGTTTTTTAAGTGACTTTTCTAAGTTTTAACTATTTTATTTTTATTTTTTTTACTTTGATGATGTATAACTGAGGATAAAAAATGCTTTACATTCTCCCCCTCTGATATTTAATTGGCTCTCCTTCTTATTATCTCTCCCTGGCTGCACACAGCATGAAACAAGTGGCTGGTACAGTAGGAGGCTGCTAATGTTTTCCTTTCTGAGTCACCTCTAAATCTGGACAATAAGTCAGCATGCAGCAGGCACACAGCCAGACTTAAAGACAGCACCTGACCACAACCACCGAGTATCTATGGCATGAGCACAATGCCATTTCAAATATTTGACGGTATGTGTTGACGTTTTTAGGAGCAAAGAGGCACATAAATATTTAACATTATTTAGAGTGCTCACTGTTCGTTTCATCTCAATTTAAATGAGTCAATTATGTAAAAGTACTGAGTAGCAGACATTGGCCAAACTTTTTTGCAAGTCCCAAAACAGACAGTAAAGTTGTGAAGGCAACTTTTCTTGCAATAAATTTGTTTTTGTTTTTTTCAGCTGACAGCTCGTTGCTTATTCTCTCACTGGCTGCTGCAGTGTTGCTAACACACCTCCATAAACTGGCAGATGTCCAGAAACTATTTTGGAGGATCACTCGTGAGGCCAGGCCCAACACAGCTGAACACTTAGCAGATCTGTTACGCATTGTTCGGCACCATTTACTACGCACAGCAAACAACATAAAAAGAAAAGGATATGAGTTTCACAGCAGCTGACGTAGGTGAGAGGATAAGATTGTTTTCGTGACGACCTGCAGAAAGACTTGGGTTATGTTTTAATCTCTGTGTCAGTATAAAACTTCTGCCTGGTTTAACACTGGCTCAAACCCAGAAAAAAATCTTTAATGTATATCTGACCTTCTCTCAACATGCCCACTGCCAGACACTTCACAAATCGACAGGCCTGGCAGGATTTTCTCCTCCTCTTGGTGATTTCACATTCGTTGGATGCTGGACAGCTGTATTCAATGTTACCTGGAGAAGCAGGAAAATGTTTTGGGAAACAAGAGAAAAACTTTATATGAAGAAATTACACCAGCACTTAAATGAAAAATATTTCTTGTTTTATAAAAGAGGGAAATTAAAATAGTTTAAAAAGCTGTGGATTAGACTAAGTAACATTAACTTTAGGCTTAATTCACATAAAAAAATCACATGCAGTCAATTATCTGCCTTTCCATTTTCAAATTCTAAACTGAAATTGACGTTTATTATTATTGTATATTATTATTCAACAGTTTATCGGCTACTCAACCAGAGAAAACAAGACATTGGATTTGTTTTACACAAATGTTAAGGATTTTTATATCGCCAATGCAAGACCTCCTCTGGGTAATTCAGATCACAACCTTGTTTATCTCTGCTCAGAATATAAACCACTTGTTCAGAGACAACCTGCAACTACAAGGACTGTGAGGAAGTGGTCACAGGAAACTGAAGAAGCCCTACAGGGACGTTTTGAAGCTACAGATTGGATTGTTCTTTGCCAGCCACRTGGAGATGACATAAATGCCATGACTGAGTGTGACTGACTATATAAACTTCTGTGTGGACAACACCATCCCCAGCAGAACAGTGAAAATCAAGAACATTGAGGACAACCCTGACCATCCACTTCATCAGACTGTCATAGAAAGACAAAGTGTCTTAAGTCGGAGGCTTCTTCAACTTCGCTGTAATACAGACCGCTACAGAAGATCTTTCCTGCCCACAGCCATCAGCATCTACAATAAGTTTTTAGTTAAGAGTTACAACACCAAATTATCAATAAAGTATTTTTGAATTTGAATTGAATTTGAACTGAATTTGAATTGAATTTGAATTTGAATTAGGAATATTTTAAAAGTTTTAATAATTTCTCACTCAAATAACTTGATAATTGCTTATAAGCTTTGAGTAAAGTTAAAAATGTTTTTTTTTTGATCCAACTGGTCAAAATTTGCAGGGTAAGCCTGATGGCGTTGAGCCAGTGAACAGTGCTCTCAGCTGTCGCACTCCATCAGAAACAGGAAGTATCTGATGAGCCAGACATGCAAGCTTCTTGTCCCATCTGAAAGCTGCTCAAGTCCGCCCTTTGAACCCATTTACAGCCGCCAACTTTTCGAGCCTTTAACGAGACAGAGCCCACCAGGTTCTTGACCTGGGCTCAGAGCCGACACAGAGCAGGACAATCCCTTTAAAACATGCACGCCGTGTTCTGCTGGCTCACAACTATGAGGGCAAAAGCCAGAGTTAACATTCCAAAAACCTGAACTCCCAACATGTTGACTGTAAAAACAATGCACTGTCAGTTCAACCACACGTCAGCTGTTTGCAAACAGATCTTTATTTAAAGGCTTTCTGCAGTTTGTAGGGCTGAAGGCGGAAGCTATGAATTAACTGATCAGGGCTTGTTTATATCAAAACAAAAGCTTGGGGTACGAGTCCATCTGCACCGAGCTGCTTGTAAAACAGGTTTATATGACGCAAAAAGGTTTTACCATTCATGCACAGTAAGCTATAAAACAGCATCTTTCTGAACTGGGATGTGTTTTTGTGGTCTTCCTTACCCTGGATGGTCCTCTTGAAAAAGGCTTTGCAAGCCTCACAAGAGGCCACGCCGTAGTGGTAGCCCGAGGCCACGTCGCCACACACCAGACACAGCCGCTTTGCCACCGAGCCCAGCATGAACTCACACTTCACTTGGCCCTCGTCCTCCCCAAACCTCCTGGACGGAACGAGAAGGGTGGAAGAATGTGTTCAGATACGATTTCAAATATTAAAAATAGGATGAAACGGACAAATAGACGAACCTGTTTGTTCCTTCATTGCTGGTCAAGCCTGCCGTGTGGCCGTAAAGGCCTGGCGAGTCCAGCCCAGGGTTCGGGTTGAGGCCTTTGGTGAGAGGACCGTAGCTGGAGTTTGTGTCTGACGAAGAGCTTCCTGGACTGGGCTGGGCCGGGCTGACGTCGCCCTGGGAGCTGGGGCTGGGGCTGGAAGGTTCCCGCTTTATAGAGGAGGGACAGGTGGGGTCCACGCCCCTCACTGACATCCTGCCTGGAAGCCTGGAAGATACAAGGATGATTTGTCTATTTATTGATTGATTTGGTTTTTCATATTATATTATTTCATGTTAAAGCTAGCTTAGTTTCATAAAAATATAATGGAAAGTCTAAGAAGAACATACAGTAAAAATGGATGCTTTAACTAAATACATATCTGCTTTAACCGGCACARTCCTGAGTGCTTCAGCTGCATCCATCTGTCTCCACATCCTTCCACTCATCCATCAAACCATCAAAGCACCCCTGTGCTGTCTGATCCAGCCGTTTGAGATCTACCACATATGCAAAGCTGCTGTCTATTACTCTACTTGGTTTTCAAAGGAGGTGATTGCTTAAGCAAACTTAGGGAAATAAACAAACCAGTGATAATGGTCACAGGTTTCTCTTGTTGTTTTTGTGCATGGATGTGTTTTTCTTTGCTTTTGTTTGCGTTTTCTCTTTTCAGTTACTTTTTTGCTGCACAAGTGAAAAGTTGCAGCTGGCAACTTTTTTCTCTTTTCACTAGACCACTGTTGGATTTCTTTTCTTAAAAGAAAAAGATATCCTTTAGTTATGATCTTAGTTTTGTGCACACAAATTTTGTCATAAAGTTGTTAAAATGAAAAGTGTTATTTATAATAGGTTTGTTTGTTGAGCAGGTGTTTAATTATAGCTGTTAACTCATAAACAGCAGAGGCAGAGTTTAGCCACCATGACAAAATTATCATTATCTGCAGGATGTTTTTCCTCACAGAATCATTGATTTTTTTATATAAAGATGTGAGAATCTGAGCTCATTCTTTGGTTTCGACATTACCTCTTGTGTTCACTGACATCAGGGGATATTCGATCTATAGTAATAAAAATAAAAAGATTCCTTTCAATTTGTTCAACTGTTACCCTGTAGTCTTTCACAAAATGCTGAGCCTCCTCTTTCCTTTTCATATTTTGTTGCTCTAAAATGCCTTTTTTTATGCATATTACTGACATGCTCATACAATCACAAGATGTTTTATCAGAAGTTTTACAAATTGAAAGAAAAAACAAAGGAATGTGTTTTTAAAAACATCATATTTTCCTCTTTTCATTATAACTTTTAAACAAAAGCAGCACCCTTAATACAATAAGGTAAACATAAAGACGTACAGATGAAATGTGAGTGTTAATGTTGTGTCATGGCTCTAATAATAGATAAAGAAGTGGCCACAGTAGACTTTCTGTCACCACGCTGAGGAGAAAAAACATCTGAAACCAGCCATGGGATCTAAACAACACACACACACACACACACACACACACACACACACACACACACACACAC